GTGGTCTTCAATAATAGTAATAGGATAGTGTTAGGTTCGAAGAGAGGGCTTGCATGGTTTTCAGGATTTGACCTCAGACGGCAAGAAAGAAACAGAAGGGATGCAGAAAGGACAGGCCAGACCACTGAGGCAGCACGGCACTGCTTGACCATCTCAGAAATTCTTTCTTTTTTTAAAACTAAATCTTTCCCTCACTGAACATGCAGATGCTGGCAACAGCACTGCATGGTGTGTTGATGTGAGGGGCTCGGATTCTAGAAGACTTTCTGTTTACTAGCTCTGTGTCCTTGGGTGTTGACCTCAACTCAATTTCCTTCTCTAGAGAAAAGAGACAATAGACAGTGTGTCTCTTAAGGCTGCGTAGGAGGTAAGGGGTATAAAGGGCTTAGCTGATGCCTGCTGCACTGTACACCCTCTGTAAATGGGACCAGTAATCCAAGAGCAAGTAAATGTCGGCTCTAAGGAAGGGCCTGCTCTGAGAACATGCAGAGGGAAGGGGAAGGGGCCCTGACTGGTGACCACCTGTTGCCAAAGCTGTGTGACTTTGTACCTGTTCCACGACACAGGGGGGTTTGCCCTGGGTAATCTTTCAGGCTCCTAAATTGGCCCAAGGCCACTCTACTCACACAGCTCCCCAAAGGTGGCTCTCAGGCCTGGGTGCCCTTGCCCTGCCTGGACCTCTCCACTTACTGCAGGGTAACTCCTACTCACTTAAGAGGCATGCCTCAGGCTAGGAACTGTGACCCGCGGTTCAGGCCTGTGATCTCAGCACTCTGGGATGCTGCAGTTCCAGATACTTGGGAGGATGAGGCAGAAGGATCACTTGAGTTTGAGGTTGCAGTGAGCTAGGTGACACCACTGCACTCCAGCCTGGACAACAGAGCTAGACCTGGTTATAAAAAGGAAAAAAAAAAAAAAAAAAAGAAGGAAAGAAAGAAAGAAGGAAGGAAGGAAAGAAGGAAGGAAAAAAAAAAAGGCAGCCCCTTCCAGAAACCTTTCTCTACCGGCCCCCCCACTCCCTGCTCCAACAGCTAGCACTCTATGTGGCCCTCTCTGTTGATAAGTCTGTCACCTAGACCTATTGTAGTGCTTAAGGGCAAGTTTCCTCCTGCGTGAAGGAAAGATGAACCGGCACTTTCTCTTTCTGGAATCCCCAAGGTGCCCTCATTGCTTTCCCTCTTCCGTGGGAAAGTAGGCTTGGAAATAGGTGAGGCTCTGTTACCTCCGGGCAGAAAGAGAAGGAAACCTCGGGCGGTTTGGGCCGCAGGTGCAGGTAAAGCCCGTTGCTGCTACTTCCTCCCAGATAAAGCTGAGAGAGTGACAAGGTCTGCTCTGAAGTCCCCAGGACCCTGAGACCAGGTCCCCACCCAAGGCAGCTCGAAGTTACCCTTGTGCCTCTGGAAAGTGGAAACCAATAACCTTGACCTTGGAGGAACAGGCGCTCTAGGGCGATGGGGATGGCCCCACGGAGAGGACGGCCGGCTCCTCCGGAAAAGTTGTCCAAAGGCCACACCCCAGCTAGCGCCCGGGGAGCCAAGCCCTGGGTGCAGAGTTACGAGCAGCCACGCGAGGCTCGGCGAGAACGTGGCGCCTCCACAGCTCCTGCTCGCGCCCCGCGAGCCGCCCGGCGCCCCGAGCGCACCCGGGCCTGTGCGCCCGCCTTGCCGCCGGGAAGCGCTGGTCCGGGGGGAGGGCGGCTCCCAGCCCCGCGCGCCTTCGGGGCGCGAGGCACCGCGCGAGGCCCTGCCATCCCCGTCGTCCGCACACTCGGGGCCGTCCCTCGGTTTTCCGAGCGCCTTTGGCGGCGGCAAGGCACCCGCTCCCGGCCAGGAGAAGCTTCGGCTCCGCCCGGCTCCGGGCGTCCAGCCGGCGAGCTGCGGGCCCGGGGCGGCGGGGGTGGGGAGGCCGAGGTCCCGGCTCCTCCAGCCCCTTCCGCTGCCCCTCCTCTCTGCTCCCTGCTCCTGCTCTTCCCGTCCCGGCCGGGAAGACGCCGGGCTTGGCCTCTCTGCCCGGAGTGGCAAAGCCATGAGCTAGCCGCCCATGCCGTTTCCTTTCCTGCCAGCCCTCCCGCGCTTCTCCTCCCGCGGGGAGCGAGTGCGGCCCGACCCTCCCCGGGCCCGGGGGCTGCCCGCAGAGCCGGCCCGGCCCAGCCTCGGCCCTGCCCGGGACCCCGGGTCGGCCGCACTCCCTCCGGCCTGCATTCGGGGCTGGAAGTCCTGCCCCGGACCCTGAAGCGGGCTGGGAGGGCCGGAGGGCTAGAGGAGGGCTCACCTCTCCGAGGGATGGAGGGGATGCAGGCGGCGGCGGCCCAACCTGCCGGCGGCGGCCCCCAGTGAGTACGAGGAGGTGAGGCGCCGGGCAGGCCGGGCGGGGGTGGCGGGCCTGCAGAGTGCGGGAGCCGGGGCCCCCGGGCCGTTCGGGACCCGGCTTCCATGGTCACAGAGCTGGAAGGGTCGTGGGGGAGGCCTGCCCTTCACGTCCATCTTCATTTCAGCGTCTCAAACTTAGAGCAGATGTGTGCAGTTCTTAGGTCGCGGGACCAGACAGTTCCAAGCTAATAATCCTGCGGAAAGACTGTGCCCAGAGAACCCCATGGGAGGGTGAGGGGCGCATTCTTTAAGATCTCTGGAGATGGATCATCTCTGGAATGTTCTAGAATTCACCCATGAGAAAGTTCTTTTAATATAACTGGTATCGTTCCTATTGCGTTCTAATCCTGTTTTCTGGATTGGACATGGAAGAGAGGAAGAAAGGGGCAGCTGGGTTGCCAAGGTCAACTTGGTACACGTTACATGGATCGGTAGAGCAAATGATTTCTGTCTTCCTAAAGATAATCTGTAAACTTCACTGGCTTAACACTGATGTGACACTTGACATGCTGTGAATTTTGCTTTATGAAATATGTGCATTCCTGAAACACGGTGTACAAATTGAATTGTAATAAACTACTGCCGAAGGGCTTGCCCTTTAAGCATCCTTGGCCAATGTATGAAGTGAATAATTAACCCCTAATTTGTAGGTTATGCACCTATGAACTTTAATACACGAGCCTTACTTCAAGTGGGACACATCTGATGTGTGATATTAAGGTAGCCTTTTCTCAGAGGGTAGAATAAGTATCAACACACTTAATACAGTGGCATATATGTAAGCATGTGACACCTTAATGAATAAATCCCCTGCTCACTTCATTCCCTGGGAAGCCATTAACATCAGCAATGCCACTAGGGTGCTGGGCAGTGCTGGTGAGTCTCCCAACCTCTGAGGACTGAACATTCTCATCCACAGATGTTTTTTTTTGAGATCGAGTCTCACTCTTTCACCCTAGGGATGAGGGCTGTGGTGTCATCATAGCTCACAGCAACGTCAAACTCTCAGGCTGAAATGATCCTCCTGCCTCATTCAACCTCCTGAGTAGCTGAGACTACAGGTACCCGCCACCATACCCAGCTAGTTTTTTTTATTTTTAGTAGCGACTGGTCTCAAACTCCTGAGCTCAGGCCATCCACCTGCCTTGGCCTCCCAGAGTGTTAGGATTACAGGTGTGAGCCCAATGCCCGGCTCATCTACAAATGTTTCGAAAGAGCCCTGGGTTTGGAATGAGAAGCTTTGGATTCTGAACTGGCCTCCCCTTCGCCTGTGTGATGTAATCTCTCTGGGTCTCAAGCTCTCTATCTGTCAAAGTGAGGGTAGAAGTGCCATCCTGGCAGAGTTGTGTCAGGATTCTTGGACAGCATGTGTTTGAAACCACCTGAAGTCCTGCCTGGCACAGAGCAGACACTGCGCCTTCCACTGGAGGGTCAGAGTCTATGTGATATCTTCCTGAGGTCCATCATCCACATTGGCTCCCCTTGGGAACGGAAGAGCAGGTCACCTTTCAGCAGATGTTGCCATCCTCTGCCAAGTACATCCTTCTGCAAAGCAAGAGGCCAGAGATTAGGAAATTGCTCTGGGTTTTGCTCTGGTTCACATCTGCCATAGAGTTACATGTTGTTTGAAGTTTTATCCATCTATAAAAATGGAGATAGAAAACTGAAACACTATTCAGACTTGGAAGAAAAATTCAATAATAACTTTTATATTGTCCAGTGATTTGTACTTTTCAAAGTGCTTTCACATCATCTATAGGGCATCCCCTGCTCTGTCTCCTAATATTCCCATCTAGATAGGGTTCAACACTAAGGCACTTAAGGGACCTAGAGGTGGTGGGAGCTGGCCCTGTGCTGAATCTCAGGAGCTCTGTCTGTTTTCTCCTCCAGAAAGCCCAAGACAGGGAACAGAAGAGCCAACCCCATGGAGGTGACCTCAGCTGTGGAGAGAAGTGGTCCTGAGCCTGGACACTTCTCACGACCCTGGACTGACCCTTGGGAAGACACACCACCCACCCTGATGAGCCCTCAGCCTCCCAGGGCAGGGGGGGCACAGCTTCAAGGCTCCTCTGTGCTAGAGTCCAAGGTGAGGGCTTTGAAAGAGAAGATGACAGCAGGTAAACAGGGGCCCAGCCCCTGTCCCACTTCCTATGAACAGTCATTCCCCAAGAAACCCAAATGTAGACGAGTCCCGGCAGGTGGAGCCAGGACTCCGTCAGAGGGGCCTTTCCTGCCAGATGCCATGGTGGTCCCTCATGCTCAGGACCTGACTGACGGGCAGCTGACCAGCAGTGACAATGAGGAGGTACCCACGAGGAATGGGAGCCTCAGACCTCCCAGGCTACCTGCTCCTGGGTGTGAATGCTGGAACATGCTTCCAAAAGCAGTGTGGACACTACCTAACCAGGAGAGTGGTCTGCTGACAGGGCCTGGTTCTTTGCAAGGAAGCCCCATCCGTGAATTTCCTCCAGGCCAGCCTGGGAGTCCGGGCCCTGATAACAAAATTATCCCCATTCCCAGCGTGAGGAAAGGAAGCTCATACCTGCTTCAAGATGGTGTGGTCACAGGGGGAGACCTGGACAACACATCCCTGGCTTCTGAGGAGGACCCTGTCCCCAGGACAGCTCTGCTGGGGGATCTCTGGAGAGGTGAAGACCTGGGGCCACTCAGCACCGGAGGCAGCACCTTGTCCTTGTCTGAGCGGGTAGAGAGGAGCCGTCTGCTGCTGCAGGAGATACTGAGAGTTTCTAGATGCGGCCCCTCCAAGGGGGGGGGCCCAGCCTGGACTCCGTCCTGTGGCAGAGCTGCAGCAGGTGGGCCTCACTCTGTGGAGGGGGGTGCAGCAGGAAGGGGCCAGCAGAGAGGAAGGGGAAAGGGATGCCCATAGAGGGCTGGTGCAGAAAAGGAGGGAGAGACAGCTGCCTATCGCCCAAGTCACCAGACAGGATGTCTGTCTTCTTATTCGTGGCTTTGACATAAATTCTTTTCCACCTCAAAGGCCTCCCTATCTGCTAAACAGCCCCTTACCCTTCCAGCCGGGGAAGGCTGCCTTCTGCATTTCATGACCTCTTCCTTGGAGCTCATAGCCCTTTGCAGAGTGGTCTTTGCTTCTTCCTCCAGGGACACACCCTCAGCCCATAGTGGACCTCATTGCCCTCTCCGTGGGACAAGCAGACAGGAACCTAGTCCTACAGAGAGCCAAGCCTCCTGTCAGCTGGGCTGAGCTCAGCTGGTAGCGCTGCTGGCATGAGTGAGCATTCACACGCAGAAAGACAACCTTCTTCCTTCCTTCTCATTCCAAAACTCATGAGCTCATTCATCACCCCACGCCTGAGTGGGTACATGTGGTCCCCTCTGGCTTGTAGCTGCCCCAGCGTCAGTCATGGTGACAGGCTCTGCTTTCACTCTCAGGCTGAAGCACAGGCAAGGTGCTGGGTTTATCTGGGGAGCAAGTTGGTTCTGGGGAAAGCTTTCTCCTAGGTGCTCATTAGGGAGCAGCTGAGAGCACCTTTCTGGCTCTGCCCTGACCTGTGCTTCTGTTCTGGGTCCTAGAGCGACCAGCTGGGGACGTGGACTGGGACTGGGGTGACTCCCTGCAGGACTCAGACCAGAACAGGTATGAGCCCAGATTCCACATTTCCTCTCCCTCCTGCCTCTCCCTGGGCCCTCTGCATACTCAGCATCATGGCAGCAGGAGACCTCACGGAGGCCAGGGGCCTGCAGACCAGTGAACATCATGTTCTGAGCCCCTGGAGAAAGAGCCCGTGCCCTGCATGGTGCTGCTGCTATCTGAGCAGAACCAGTGAGGTGCCCAGGACAGTGCAGAGAGCATCACCTCTGACCTCTGTGTCCCCAGGGGCCATTTCCATGTCAGGCCCCTGTCTTTTTATTTTTCGAGTAGGGGCAATAGCGTCTGTCTGGTTTACTTTACGGACCTTTGTGAGCCTAAGATGAGCTAATGGGTGTGAATCTGTGGGGAGAGTATGGGAATGCAAAGCTTGTACTCAGTACCCTTCCCAGTCAAGGGAATGTGCTGGGATTGTCTCAAGAGTTTCACCTCCAGCCTCACCATGAGACCCCCACAGGTTTTGCTTCAGCCCCTCCACCAATGTTTTGGGGAAGCTGGATCCTCTGGGCCTGGTGGGGAAACTGGGGCCACCTGTCCTTCACAGGCTGTGTCCTGTGCTGGGCAGTGTGGAAACTGTACACTTGAGGTGGTGGTGGGGCCATGTGTGGCTTGAGCTGCTGCTGGCACCTATACAGGGTTGACCTCAGCCCCAGTCTTTGCTGGGCTCTTGGCACACACAGCTGAGAGGCCTTGGAGCTGGTCCTGGTCCTCCCACCTCCACAGCTGTACAGTGATGTCATCCTCTGTTGCTTCTCCATCATCATGCTGCTCCCCGCATAAATCCCACTTAGTTTGACTAAAAGACAGCGCCTCTACCTTTGGTCTATTCAGGCTTCTATAACAAAATACCACAGACCGGGTGGTTTAAACAGGACAGAAATGTGCTGCTTACAGTTCTGGAGGCTGGGAAGTCCAAGATCAAGGCACTGGCACATTCAGTGTCTGGTTTCTTTCTGTGTCTTTACATTAGACAGAAGGGACAAGGCAGTTCCCTGGGGCCTCTTTCATAAGGGCACTAATCCCATCTGGAAGGGTTCCACCCTCATGTGCTACCCACTCCCAAAGGCCCCACCCCCAATACCATCACACTGGGAATTAGATTTCAACATATTAAGTTTTGGGGGACACAAACATTCAGACCATGGCAGCCCCCTGTCCTGCACCTGCTTTAACATAGCAAGGCAGTCCAGATTCAGGTGATGCCACTTCTGCTCAGCTAAGGGTCTGGTGGAGATGGCATTGTGGCTCCTCATCCCTCCTCATTTATGATTTGGAATCTCAGTTGCCACCCCTCTGCTAGGGGCCTCTTTCCTCACCTCCATGGCCTCAGTTTTCAGCTTCTCGCCTCATCCCCACCTTGCTTTGCTGCTTTGTTGGGAAAGTGACTGCAGAAGGGACTGTGGCCCCCCTCTGCCCACCTCTCTGCCCCACTGCAGGCCTGTGCCCTGGGCACCTCCTCCTTCCCTGCAGGGAGACGGGGCCTCCTCTTCCTGCAGTGGCTCATTCCCTGCCCTCCCTGGATCCTTCCCTTGACTAGAGAGATGTCCAGCAGGGAGGTACGGGCACAGGGGACTCGGTCCATAGGTCATGTTGAAATGAGCTGCCAAAGCTGCTAACTTGCACATTGGATAATCAGTAATCACAGCCAATCATTTTAAAGGAAGAGCGCCTCAGCCATGGGTGGGACTTTCCCTTCATCTTGTGAGGAGGTGGCATTTGGGTGGAACCCTCAGGCCTGGGATTTCTGGACTCTTGCTTAGTCTGCCAGCCCATCTGCAGCCATCTGCTGCATTTTAGAGTTCAGGCGGGGTGTGTGTGAATGTGCATTGTATGATGTGCGTCTGTGTGGTGTGGAGGGCAGAGGGAGACTGTGGCTTAGCTTTAGGACCCTGTTCAGAGACTAACAGATCGGGGCATAGGATTGGTGTGGGAAAAACCCATCCTCTGGTTTGTTTGGGAGTTAGGCAGAGTGGCCTTTGACCTCTTGGTGATCTCTAGTCAGGTCCTTGCTGAGTGGGCAGCAGGCTGAGGGCAGAGAACACACCTTGATTCAGGGAGGCTGAAGCCAGCCATGCTGCCGTGCTCCCCGACAGGGCTCCTCATTTGCTCTGCCCTCCCACTCATCCTTGGCCATGGGTGATCACCTCAATGATGAATGTCCTGGACAGACACTCAGGTGGTCCCTAAGACACTGCAGGGCTGCGTCTCTACCCGGTGAACCCAGGGATGGATTTATCAATGCCACTTCTGTGCTTCCTAAGAGACCTTTGAAATGAGGCAGGCTTCCCTCTGTGCCCCAGGAGTGCCACGTGAGGCCAGGGTCCTCGGGCTTAGTGTCCCTATGTAGGTGCTTAGGACCCTGGGCGGAGGTGTTTTCTGAGGCTGTGGCCAACCATTATGATGGCCTTCCTGGAGGGGACCCCAGGACATCGTTAGCACATGCTCCGGCAGGGGAAGGGCCTCATTCATGGGGCGGTGAGCCCCTCTGTCTGCTCAGGGTTTGAGGAGTGAATGGTCCTGCTTTGCATTCAGTCAGGCTTCCTTGCAGCTCAGCATTGCAATCAGATAACCACCATGACCAAGTTAACCCAAGATGTATTTAATTATGTCCGTAACTGTCACTGCCCTGCATGGTAATGAGACAAGCAGCTCATGAAACGGTGGTGTCTACAGAGCCCAAGACAGTCACTGCGGCTGGGGGGACTAGTCACAGGGAGTCAGCCACAGAGGTGGGTAGCTTCACGCTGTCTTGTCCATGCTCCCCCCACCCCCAGGGCTAGGGATCTGGGGGTCTTTGCCCCTCCCAGGTTGTCTATTTTCTAGTATGGGCAAAGAAGTCTAGGTGACAGCCTCCACGGTATAAGCCTGTTTTTTTCTCTAAGTTACTGTCGAGATGATCTGGGGAATGGGTTTTGATTTTACGGGAGAGAATGGGGTGAAAGGTGGGGCTTTAGAGAAAGCAAGAGTGGGTCAGTGCCTGCGATGGGCTCATCGTGCCCATGAGGGAGTGGAGTGGACGTGAACATCTCCACCCTTGTTCATTCCTGGTAGCCCATGGCTTTCCCTTCACTGCTATCCAGGGTCTCTGGATCCAGATGGCCATGACCAGTTTGGCCTCTTCCCTGCCTTGAGGGTCTGAGAGACATACAGGATTACAGATTGTCAGATTAACCTGGCAGGAGCCAAAAGTACATGAGACCAAAGGAGGAGCAGCAGTCAATGGAGCCCTTGCCCCAGACTCCACACTAGAGGCCTGTGGGTGTGCAGAGCTCACTGCGTCAGTGCTGCAGGCTCTGGGTGGCCCCGAGGCCCTGGGCCTTCCTCTGGGAGGGAGTGGCCAGGCCCCCTCCAGACCCAATCAGGACTTTCTGTGTGTGTGATCCGCAGGGCCCACCTCCTGACATCTGGTCTGCAGGATCAGTAATTATTAGTCTGCTGTGGGAAAAGGAGAGAAGGAGGTCTTTAGAGCTTTGTTTTTATTTGTGCTATAGTGATGAAGGAAGCTCAAAAGATTTCCTAGGTTGTTTATTTTCCCCTCCTCCCTGTGGTGGAATTGTGCCCATTTATAGAGACAGAAGCCCAGTTCCTGGTGTATACACCCCTGGGAAAGACAGTGCGAGTTCACAAGGAGAGAAGCGACTTAGTGCCAGATGGCCGCAGTTCTGACTTTGGTGGCTTCCAATTTTCAGGCGTCTGTTGGAAATGTAGGGGGTCAAAACTCCCTCACCTCCATAGTTTGTAGATTGGAAAGCAAGCATCTTGAAACTGTTTGAGACAAGAATAAAACCAAAGTCCTTTTTCTACCCTTATACACGGCATATAGCACAAAATGCCTCTCCTCTGGCTGCCAAAATGTGTGCAGATTTCTGCCCCCCACCAAGCAATTCTCCAGCTCCAGCAGTTCTGACACTGTCCACCTGGAGATCGCATCAGATGCCGCAGGTTAAGAGCTAGATCCCACAGGACTGTCCCCACTCCAGATGCGAATTGAAACTCTACTTGTGACCTGAACTTCTAACCCGCCAGCTATAAATCAGGGTTCCCACTATTCCCTTCTTGGCTTGGATTTATTTTCAAGAAGAGCTCACAGAACTCAGGGAACACATGTTGCTTATAGTTTACCCATTTATTGTAAAGAATGCTACGAAGAATCCAGGGGAACAGCCAGATGGGAGAGATGCATAGGGGGAAGGGGTGTGGCGCTTCCAGGATTCTCTAGGAGCACCACCCTCCAGGAAACTCCAGAAGCTCTCTGACCCCATCTTTTGGGTGTTTATGGAGGCTTCGTTATGTGGGCATGACTGATGACATCCTTGGCCATGGGTGATCACCTTAACGATCAGCCCCTCTCCCCTTCCCAGAGAGTTGAATGTTCCAGCCCTCTAATTCGGCCATGGCCATTCAGAATTCTGCCCCAAGCTGAAGCTACCTAGGAGACCCCAGCTGCCAGTCATCTTAGTAATACACAAAGCCACCCTTACCACCCCTGCGATTCCAAGGGTTTTAAGAGCTGTGTGCCAGGAACCAGGAGTGGAGACCAAATGTGTATCTATTATATCACCGTGTCACAGAGGCTCTCCCATGAGCCCAGCACTGTGTGGGTGCCAGTGCCATTTCAGATGGACTTGTCCGTTTTTACTCTCACTGCTCTCTGCCTACACTGCCTGCTGCCATGGCTGTGACTGGTGGGTCTTCTGAGCTTCTTTGAGGCAAGAACTCTTGTCTCCAGGCCCCAGGACCTGTCAACTATGTGCACAGAGCAGGCACGTGGAAAAGGTCCCCCAGAGGCCGGCAGGAGACAGTGTGTGGAGTGGCCCAGCTAAGTGTCCTGAGGCACTGCCCAGGACTCCCTGGGTTGGGGAGGTGCCCGAGGACCCCCCAGGGCAGGGCTGTAAGTGGGAGTGGCTGAGTCCCTGCCTGTCCTGTCACTCTGCCTCACCTAGTACCCATCTTACCCACTGACTCAGAGACTCAGGGACAAAGGTAGA